ATGGCTGTGAGTTGCTGAGGTGGTGGGAACTATAAACCATGGCAAGTTAAGAGAGGGAGAAGTTGTCCCATTCTTCAGTTGTTGTAAAAAGCTAACCCAAAGCACATGGGACTTGTTTTGAAGCTAGCCGTTGTCAGCAAGGGTGTTATGGTCTCTCTGCTCCCCGAGACTTTTGGAAGGTGGCAGTCATCTGGGCTGACGCAAGGCTGATTTCACACAATTTCAGCCAACAGATTGCTGCGCCACAGTGTTCATTCATTCGCTCTGTTGCTTAAATATGTGTTGCGTGCCTACTAAGTGGGAGTGGGGAAGAGAGGGAGGGAGTTGTTTTGTTGTTGTTGGGTGGTGTCAAGCCAGTCTGACCCACAGCAGCCCTGTGGACAACAGAATGAAACACTGCTTGATCCTGCGCACCATGGTTATATTTGAGCCCATCATTGCGATCTGTGTGCCACTCCATCTCGTCGAGGGTCTTCCCCTTTTTTGCCGTCCCTCGCGTCCAAAGTGCATGAGTCGTTAAAGGAAACAATGAAGAGACTGTCAGATAGAAGTGGTTGATGGTGTTAGTTCTCACCATGCTGCTGGCTCGACTCCTGGTGTTCACATGTCTCCCTCACTGCCGTTCGGTCAATTCTGACTCATAGCGACTTACACGACAAGGTAGCCCCTGTGGGTTTCTGAGACTGTAATTCTTTACAAGAGTAGAAAACCCTCTCTTCTCCCTTGGAGCTGGCTGGTGGTATCAAACTGCTGACCTCAAGGTTAGCATCTCCATGAGTACCCACTTGACCACCAGGGCTCCTTGGCCTTATGTCTAGCAGAAGGGGATGCCATCCGTCCTGTGCCATCTTCACGATCGTTGGTATGTTCGAGTCCATCTCATTGATTGTTGTTAAGGGCTGTCGAATTGGTTCTGACTCATAGCGACCCTACATACAGCAGAATGGAACACAGCCCAGTCCTGCACCAGCCTCACGGTTGTGTTTGAGCCCATTGTTGCAGCCACTGCGCAGGTCCATCTTGTCAAAGGTCTTCGTCTTTCACGCTGCCCTGCTACTTTCCCAAGTGTGATGTCCTTTTCCAGGGTCTAGTCGCTCCTGATCACATGTCCCAAGTACGTGAGGCATGGTCAAATCTCGCCATCGTTGCTTCCAAGGAGCATTCTGACTGTACTTCTTCTGAGACAGATTTGTTTGTGCTTTTGATGGTCCATGGGCCTTTCAGATATTCTTTGCCAGCCCCATAATTAAAATGAATTGGTCTTCCTTATTCTGTGTCCAATTTTCACATGCATGTGAAGCAATGGAAAATACTATGACTTAGAGCAGACGCACCTTAGTCCTCAAAGTAATGTCCTGGCTTTTCAACACTTTAAAGAGGTCTTGTGGAGCAAAGTCACCCAATGCAATGTGTCCTTTGACTGCTGCTTCCATGAATATTGATTGTGGATTCAAGCAAGATGACACCCTGGACAACTTCATTCTTTTTGCAATACTTGTCTCTGGTGGCGTGTTCACCAGAGGTCACAGTTCAAAACCACCAGCCACTCTGAGGGGAAAAGGCCAGACTTTCTACTCCTGTAAAGAGTTTCAGTGTCGGAAACCCAAAGGGGCAGCCTCACCCTGTCCTGTAGGGTCGCTGTGAGTTGGAATCAATTGGATGGCAGAGTGTGAGTGAGCGAGTATCACTCATTGACTTACGTATTGCCGAAGGGCCCCCTCATTGAGATAAATACTGCAAAAAGACATTCGGACAGAATGAGTGCGCAAACTGCGCACGGAGTCTTTGGTGCGCTTCCCAGGCAGACAACCCTGGGTGCTAGATTGTCGAGTACAACACAAGAGCTTTAGGTAGATCGGAATGACTCAAGGAAGACCACTGCAGGAAAGGACCCACAGCAGGAAGTCGCTTGGACACCAGCCTTGTGTAAGCCTCAACTGCAGCCGCCTTCTTCCTGGTGTCCCTGCTCTGCCAGCCCTGTTATCCATTCTCACACTGCAGCCAGGTTAACCCTTTTTGAAAAGAAAAGTGTGTGGCTCTCTCATCCAAGCCCTCCATTGGCTTCTCAAATCACAAGTAAAAAAACCACAGTGCTTACAGGCCATCTATATTCTTCCCAATATTATCCCCCTTTCCTCTGTGACTGCATCCCCTCTGCCTCTCTCACTTGCTCCCTGTGCTCGGGCCACCCTGCCTGCCTGCCCTCCCGCCATTCAAACACACCAAACATGCTCCTACTTGGCAGCCAGCACTGCATAGATGGTCCCCTCCCTTCAGAGCGTGGCTTGTTTGTCAAAAGTCCCCAGGACCACCCCAGGCTTAAAGACTCATGAGCAGCCTTCACAGGACTCAACACATCGTAATACCCGTGGGCAAGATTTAGTGCAGTGAAAGCAACCTCGACACAAGAAAGGAGTGCGCGGTGCAGAGTGGCGGGAAACCAGGTACAAGCGTCCCAGAGTCCTCCTTCAGTGGGGTCTCACGTCCAGTCTATGTCAACTCCTAATGGCCCTCCAGACAGGATAGGACTGTCTCCATGAGTTTCTGAGTCTATGCATCTTTTTTTTTTATTAATCATTTTATTGGGGGCTCTTAGAAATCATATAAGAATCCATCATTCAATAGTATTAAGCACACTCATACCTATGTTATAATCAACATTTCCAAAACAATTTCTTTCTACTTGAGCCCTTGGTATCAGTTCCTCTTGCTTCCCCTTCCTCGTGAATCCTTGATCAATTACATATTATTATTGTTATTACGTGTCTTACACTGTCTGTTGTCTCTTTACCCACCTTTCTGTTATTCGTACCCCTGTGTGTGTGGTGGGCTATATGTCCAACCTTGTGATGAGTCCCCCTGAGTTAGTTAATTGTGCCAGCCTGGCCAATAATCACATGTGGTGCTGGTTGAAAGGTGGAGGGATAAATGGGTGGTGAGCCTCGCCTTTCTAGTTCTCGGATCTCTTGCTTTGTGATGGTCGCACCAGGGTGCAGCTGCCTTAGCAGTTCCCTGCTCCAGCTTGCAAGATTGACTTCATACAAGACATCCCCAAGGAGAAGCTACATGGACCTATCCCGATGCAGCCCTGGGTGCTGGAGCAGCCGTGTGGAGACCCCTGCTAGTGCTGAGATGCTTGTTCGTTCACTGACTCAGCTTTCCTCCTGCAGTCGGCATCATTGCCTCTGTTTTGTGAGGTGGAGGACTTTGTGAACTGGTGTTGGGTTAATGGGTTAATGTTGGACTTGTGGGCTTGGGCAGCATTGGGTTGGGATGTTTTCGTGATGCACACTTTCTTTACATAAAACTCTCTCTTATACGTGAGTCGCCGTGGATTTGTTTCTCCAAAGTACCCAGACTAATACACCCCCCTTTCTCCCCCTGCCGCCACCACCCCTCTACCCTCAAGATATCGCTACTCCCACTCCTGCTCCTGAGGGTTTTATCTGTCCTGAATTCCATGTGTCGAGAGCTCTTACCTGTACCAAAGTGTGTACTCCGGTCTAGCTGAATTGGTAAGGTAGAACTGGGTCATGGTAGTAGGAGTAGAAAGCCTTGTTTTTCTCCCAAGGAGCTGCTTAGTGGTTTCAAACTGCTGACCCTGCAAGTCACAGCCCAATATGTAACCATTATGCCACCAGGGCTCCCCGACATGGTTAATTCCTTCAGCAGTGAGGTGTAACAACACGGTGACAAGTTGCTACCAGGGGAGCTCTTTGGAGTTCTGACTAGGAGGAGCCATGGAGGCACTCTCTGTGGAGTACGGTACCACAACACCAGATTCCCAGAAAGAATGCAGGTTTGATCTCAATGGCATTGTGTAAGCACAGTGAGGCTCCCTTGTCAGGGAATGGGGGGGGGGGGGGGCAGGAATTCCTAGACACTCTCCAAGGCCAACCTCGCAATCAGGCTTTCCCAGGATAACAGTTCCCATCCTGCAATGCTGGACAGTGCCTTCCCGACAAGACCCTTTCTAAACAAGACCCTGTTTCAAATAGCAACTCCTCTACCAGCATACGCTGCCCCTCGCCTCTGGTTTTATTTTTCTCCATAGCACTTGACACTATTTAAGGCACTAGAAAATCTGCTTATTCAATTGTTTCTTGCCTGTGTCTCCCCTTAAAACGTAAGTTTCCTGAGGCGAGCACGTAGCACAGTGCTTGACACCTGAGAAGTCCTCAGTAATAGGTAAAGGATGAATGAATGAAAAACAGGAAGACAAAGACATCATGCCCCAGGCAGTTGGAATAAAGTGAGCCAGACAGAGAGAAGTAGGAGGAGGAGGTGAAGTGGACCAGGTCTGCTGAAGCAAATTGAGTCAGAGCGGACAAGGGACCTTGCTGGCTGTGGGAAGACTTTAGCTAGCATATGTCTCAAGTCCCAAGAGCCCCATAGAATTGACCAAACCATGTCTTGGCTAGTTTCTCCTCTTCACTTCACCCTCAGTCCTCATTAGCATTCTGCATGGGGGCTAGGCATGCAGGCATGCTCTGTGGAGCCTGTACCAGAGTCCCAGACGCCCAGAAAGAATGCACATGTTCAGCCATCTGCCTGTTCTTCCTTTCCTCTGTAGTGGAAAGGAGAATTCGGAATCTCATTATACGCCCTATAACACTTCATGCTTTTCTGCCCAAGAACTCCTCACAGTTGTAATAACCCAGTTATGTGTGTAACGTATTTAATATCCGAGTTCTCCATTCGGTGGAACATGTCTGGCTTGCTAGTACAGTCTCTTTAGCACCGGGCCCAGAACGCAATGAACATTTGGATGATGCTGCCTTGTTCTTTTTCAGACTGCAGATGACTCTGGAGGAGGTTAGACTTCCTGGGCCCTTGAACTGCCACGGAGCTTCCCCAGGCTGCCCAGCCTGAGACACTCAGCCTAAGACCCGAACATGCATCTTACTAGCCTCCCCACAAGGCCAGGCATCCAGGCCTGGTTGAGTAGGCCTCACAGTGACCTGATTTCTGACGCTGGACTGTGGGTGTTTGTTGTGCAGGAGTCTTTGGAAGAGGCCCAGCTGTGTGCCTTCACCGGGGACCGGCTCATCCAAAGCCATCACTATGCAGCGGACGTCATCAGGCCCAGGTGTGCGGAACTCAGGCACACCTGCGATGACTTCGTCAATGAAAACAAGAAAAAACGTGACCTCTTAAGGAAGTCTTTGGAGCTGCATAGGCAGTTGGACCAGGTGAGCTAGGTCAAGCCCTGGCTTTGACGGCGAGGGCTGATCTGAGTCCTCCTGTCCCTACCCCCCTCTGCCCCATACGACGGCTGAAAGGAGCAAGGATATTTTCTATGGAAAGGTGCTCAGAAGGCAGTAAGAATTGTTCACTTCTTGATAGTGGAGGTATTGAAGGTAGAACGTGCCCCAGCCACCCCCACCACGACCCATTAGAGTTCAGAGGAGGCCATTACCAGGTGTGGGGGACACACAGCACAAAAATCCCGTATGTTTCTGTTCCAGGATCTCGAGGGCATTCGTATGGGGTTTCAACCACACATCACGAGGGCGGTTGGCTTGCCCTGTTGGTTATTTCTTGATTCCCCTTCAGAAGTGCAGAGAATCAAGCACCATGCTCTCGAAGTGCTTCTGTCATATCAGGAACCCGGGAACCGGTGGGGAAGACCTCCTCACCTGCCAAAAGATGGGTGGTTGGAAGCCTCCAGCCCCACCTTGTTCCTGGAAACATGACAGCCTTGGAACCCGGATGGGGCCAGTCCCCTGTGTCCTACGGACTGCGACGAGTTGGAATTGACTTGAGGGCAGCGAATGCGATTTGGAGATTTTAAGCAGAGCAAGTGTGAATCCTTTGGAAAAAACTGAAGTGATAATGACTGTGGTGCCCACTACCAGTGACCGAGCTTTGTTCCTGTAAGGTGGTAGGAAGTGGCTCTGCATGCCACCGGGGTGGTGCGAACAATTTCGTCACTCGGCAGCTTACAGGAAGGTTTGATGTTCTAGTCCCCCACCCCACTCCAGGCTCCTTGGAAGTAAGGCCTGGTGGTCTACTTTTGAAAAATCAGTCACTGAAAACCCTCTAGAGCACAGCTCCACTTTCCCACACACAGGGGGTCACGGGAGAGAATCAACAGAAAGGCAACTGGTTTTAGTTTGAAATGGGACCCCCATGACAGCCTTTGGGGAAGGTACTGAGGGCCTCGGTTGACAGAGGAGAAAGCGGGTGTACTGACGTCCGTGGGTCTCATGGACGAGCCTGTTCCAGCTGTCATTGATTGGCTCTCTGAGTTCTCCATGAGATAGGAAACGGCTGGCTTGCTAGCACAGCACCTTCAGCACCTAGCCCAGAACTTCCCTGTCGTATGCCCAGAGAAATCAGTATTTCGGTCACATTTCCAGGTGCAGGTGGGCCGAAACCAGACTGAGACCCTCTGAGTTAAGTGATTCCCCCAAGACCACCCAGGGAAGCCAGCTTTGAAGTTGAGACTGGCTGATTCCCTATCTGCACAAGGAGGGGCATGTGTAGGTAGACCTGGAGGCAGCAGGGATCCTTGGAGCAAGTTCCCAATCCATTGGAGTGGTGACCTTGGGAATCCTCCCTGTCAGCTGTGCCCTGCCCCACCCCATAGCTCGCTCTGCCCACGTGGCTGAGGGCACCCTTCCAGTGTGTTCACATCGTCCTTCAGCCAAAGGAGCTTTAGTGTCAATGAGATACCGCCGCTCCAGAAGCAAGGGTCTCGGAGGGGTTCATTCATTCACACCCTGCCTTGCATGCTGAGCTCTCCCTGGAATCAGCTGCTGTTTTCCAGACCCCGTTTCTGCTCCAGGAACGTAGAATGCCCAACTGCTGACGGGAGGCGTGAGTGGATCCAAAGCCTCGGCAAGCTTGGAGGCTTCCAGAGTCCGAGCTGATTTGACGGGAGCTAGTTTTCACTCTGTGGAATGTGCCTGTGTGTGTATGCGTGTGCAAGTAGCCATGGTGCTACAGAAGGCCCTCCTAGTTGCTTAATGCTTTCTGCAGACTCGGCATGACATTTAAAGAGAAAGCTTCCACCGTCTCTTGCAAAGCACGACTTTGTATTCTTTTAAACAATCTAAAAATGTAGGACAGGTGAGGGGGAAAGTGCTTATGGACACCTACACATGCCTCCTCATCTTCACACATTGGGAACCAGTCATTTTAAAATAACTTTATTACTTTGTTATTATTCTGAAAGTCATTCAGACTCAGAGTAAACCTTTTAGGGAAATAATTAAGAGGAAAATGTTAATGCGTGTAATGTCTCCTCTAAACATTAACCACTTTGAAGTGTTCCCTTTTGATTGTGTCTCTGTATAGTTTTCTTTTGTTTGTTTTTTTTTTTTGGCTTGTTCTTTTTAATAGCTTCACAGAGCCCCTGGTAAATGGAAATGCAGGTGAACTTGCACTGGAAGCTTATTTTTATTATACACATTCAGGCTGCACAAAAATCCCACATCTCTGTTCAGGTGTCTCAAGAGGGTTCAACGAGTAAAGAAAACAAAACACAAAGTCTTTTTTTTTTTTTTAAAGTGAACTGAAAGAAGACGAAAAAATGAATCCAGGAAAGTTTGGATGTTGCTACTCTCCGCTACAACCTTGAATATTCCTGGGTATTTCTCTCAAAAGAAAACAACAAGCTTACTGCCATTGACTCGATTCTGATTCATAGTGGCCCTATAGGACAGCGTAAAACTGCCCCTTTGAGTTTCCAAAGCTTTTAAATCTTTATGGGAGTAGGCAGCTTCATCGTTCTCTCTCAAAGAAACTGATGATGGGTTTGTACTGCCGACCTTGCCAATAGCGGTTCAGTGTGTAACCTACTATGCTGCCTCATCTTTCTCCCACAGAGTAGGTGGTAGGTTTGAATCCCTAACCTTGCAGTTAGCCACCCAATACCCAATGCCAGACAAACACCAATGAATGCAAACGTTAATAGACTAGGGATCTCAAGAGGGAAGTGGTTTTTCGTTTTTTGTTTTTCTAAGGAGACGTTGCCTTCCCCTCAAAAGGTGCACAAGGGCCAAATATAATGCTTCCTGAATCAACCCAGGCTCTTTTCATACTTAGGATGCAAGACAAGTAATCTAGAAAAGTTTTTTGTTACATTTCTCTGAGACTAGACCAACCTTAGAACCACTTTCAGCTGTCTTCTCCGAGGGATGTAGCCCACCTGAATTTCAAGAACAGATCTGTTCTTGAGATGTTAAACACTAACGACTGGAAGACCAGGGGGGTTAGGGATGACATCTAGAACATCATACATGTAAAAAGCAAAGGTCATTAAAAAGTAAATAGACGAAATGGACATCAGGTGAGATGTTGGGACTTGCTCTTGTCATAGAGCAGCTAAAGCCAATGGAAGGAATGATGACGGAAAAGAACAGCTAAACAGAACATTTCAAAGGGCCGCCCAACACAACACAGCAAACCACTAAAATGAAATGTGCAAAGACATGGAATTGAAAAGCGAGAAGGGGAAAACACACTCAGCATTTTCCAAGCTAAAAGCACTGAAGGAAAATCTTCAACAATATTGAAGGATTCTATGGGACAAATATTGCATGATACAGGAACTATCCTAAGAAGACAGAAGGAAGATCGCATCACTGTACCCCCAAAAACTGGTCGACAGTCAACCATTTCAAAAGGTAGCTTATTATCAAGAACCAAAGGAAGATGTTCAAGCTGCACAGAAGCCACGAGCCAAAAGCAAGACTCCAGTCACGGGCAGAATAGTAACTGAAATGTTTCAATAAGCTGAAGCCAAGAAATCTGGAAGATTCCCTGACCAACCCGTTGGAGGACATCCGTCTTTGTGCCCATTCCGGAAAAAAAAAAAAAAGATAACCCAACAGTATTTGGAAATTATCAAACACTATGATTATATCACTTGCAAGTAAATTTTTTGCTGAAGATAGTTCAGAAATGGTTGCAGTGGCGTCTTAAGAGACAACTGCCACAAACAGAAGCTGGATGCAGAGAGGACTTGGAATGAAGACTGTCCTTGCTGATGTCAGATGAATCTTGCCTGGACACGGAGAACATTAGAAAGATATTTGTCTGTGCTTTGTTGACTTTCAGCAGTATGGAGCATAAAAAAACACACACACCTGGATAACATTGGGAAGAATGGGAATTCCAGAACTCTTCATGTGTTCATGTGGAATCTGTACATAAACCAAGAAACAGTCATTGAAACAGAACAAAAGACACTGCATGGTTTAAAACGCGGAAAGGTGTTGTGTCCTGTTACCATATTTACTCAGTCTGTACGCTGCGCAGATGTATGAAGAAGAACTTGCCGTCGGATTTGAAGGAAGGCTTATTAACAGCCTGTGAACTGCAAACGACACAATCTTGCTTGCTGAGAGCCAAGAAGCCTTGGCGCACTTGCTAAGGAAGATCAAAGGCCGCAGCTCTCAGTAGGATTGCAATTCAATGTAAAGAAAACCAGGTGCCTTACAACTGGGCCAATAGATAACATCTTGAAAAATGGAGAATAACATTGCTATGGATTTAATTTTACTTGAGTTTGCAATCAGGGCTCATGGAAGCAGCAGTCAAAAAAAGCAAATGACCCATTGAACTGGGCAAATGTCTCACATTTTTAAAGTGTAAAAGCACTAAGGTGCCACTTTGAGAACTAGGGTGCACCTGACCCAAGCCATGGTGTTTTCATTTGCCTCATATGCTTGTGAAGTCTGGACAAGGAACATGAAGACTGGAGAAGAATTGGTCTGTTTGAATTACAGTGGCGAAGAATAGTGACTCCTTGGGGGAATTGCCAGAAGATCAAACAAATCTGTCTTCCAAGAAGTACAGCCAGAATGTTCCTCTGAAACCAATCTGGTGAGACTGCGCCTCATGTACTTTGGACATATCAAGAGAAACCAGTCTATGGGAAAGGACCCCAGGCTGGGCACTGTAGAAGGGCACTGTGGAAGATCATCAACATGATGGATTGACATGGTGGCTGCAACAATGGGCTCAAGTGTAACAATTGTGAGGATGGTGCGGGACCAAGCAGCATTTCATTCTGTTGCACGTAGGGTCGCTATGAGTTGGAACTGACTCCAGGGCACCTAATAGCAACCTTGGAGATAAGGTTGGCTTGGTTTCACATCACTGCAGTGAAGTGAGTATTGAAATAAAGCAAGCCACGCAGTGTCTGCCCCCACCCCTTGTGTTAGGCTGGATTCTGTAGGAAGCAAAACCAACGATAGATAGAGATAAATAAACGTGTATCAAGGAAATGGCTGACACAGTTGTGAAAGAAACTGTGTGCTGTCGGGTTTCAAGTCCGTGGGTCATACGTTAAGCTGGAGGCGTCTCTCGACCAATGTAGCTTCGAAGGCTCATGAGCCCAGGAAGACCACAGGCTGCATCGGTGGTTGAATCCCTAGGTCAGCAGGTCATATGACAGGCCATTGATGGCTCCTGGAACCTGCGGACAATATGGCAGGCTGTTGGTCAAGTTCAAAGAACCAGAAGCTGATGGGCCAGATGCAGGAGCCAGACCCAGATGAAAAGTCAGCAAGCTTTCCACCAGGTCCACTGATCTACAGGAAGTATATCAAGTTCGGAGGCAACCTTTGAATTGCATCAGGCCTGTGACCTACCTGAGTCAGAGGGTTTCACTCCACCTTAATCTTAAAGTGCTTGGCTGCTTCCTGTAGATTCTATCATGTGGTGATTCCATTATGTTAGGTCACATCACGGAGGGCCACTAGACATCAACTACCAAACCAATGAGAATCCTGGCCCAGTGAAGAAGTTGACACAAAGCCCAAATATCACACAGTGCATATAAAAGTTACATGTATACAATACAGTGATCCATTACTGGAGATAGGCAAGGCCTTCTACTCCCATGAAGACTTCCAGTCTTTGGAAACCCACAGGGGCAATTGTACCCTGTCCCACAGGGTCACTGGGAGTTGGAGTTGACTCAATGGCAGTAGGTTTGGTTTGGGTTTTGGTAACCCAGTATCTGATAGCGTTGCTATGAGTTAGAATTGACTCATTGGCAGTGGATAATCCATTAATTATGCAATAGCATTATAGAAAATTTAAAATATGGTGGGAATGGCCAAAATATGACACAGACAAGAAATGAGCACAGGCGATTGGTGCCAATAGACTTGCTTCATGCCACAAAGCTTCAGTTTGTAAAGCAACACACACACACACACAATAAAGCAAAGCATGATAAAATGAGGTGTGCCGGTAGTGCAAAGGCCTCTAAACTGCAAGCTGTCCCAGGAGTGTTTCCTGTTGCATCAGAGCCTCCGTAGACCCTCGGTGAGCAGGGAGCTCGTGAACCCTGTGAAGGCTGAGTTGCAGTCAGGCTAACTGCCCAGGGCTCTGTGTCTTTCCCAAGGTCAGCCAGTGGTGTGAAGCGGGAATCTACCTCTTGGCTTCCCAAGCTGTCGACAAGTGCCAATCCCGAGAGGGAATTGACATCGCCATGAACGACATTGAGACATTCCTGGGCACAGCCAGGGAGCACCAGTTGCCCAGCCCCAAGGCATTTTACAACCAATTCGAGTTGATACTCACGCAGGACATAAAGGTAATGTCTTCGGGGGTTATTTTGGCCGTGTGGTTAGGATAGGGATGTTTAAAGGGCTTTGTCTGTTGCTTAAGAAAATTCAGCTGAAAAATGAAGCAGCTGGGGAAGAAAGGAATCAAGAAAGAACAGGTAGGATGTACTGAGCAGGCTGATTGGTTCTCTAGCCCTTTGATGGCTTCTTAGACTCCTTGCCTGTGCTTCCTGGTCAACTTATCCTGCAGAATCTGACCGACATGTCATCTTTAGTAACCCATTTCTGAACAAACCCTTATAAGTACCTCTGATGGATCACACACTGTGCTGTATGCTGAGGATAGACGCATTGATGGACTAGACGTGCTTTTCATGAGAGAGGCTGGCATTAGTAAAAGGACCGTACAACGCTCTGTTTCCAGCTGAGAAAGATGCTCTGAAAGAGGGGCTGGGGGGCGCTCTGGCTTTCGTTAGATGACTCTGATCTGGACTTGCGGTCAGAGAAGGATCTTGCCCAGGTGCGGAGTGTCTCAGGCAATGGAGAATGAATGAAGGGAGACAGAGGACGGTTTCCAGGCAGATGAACAGTGTGTGTAGAAGACCCCAACATCGTTGGGTGGCCAGAGTTTAATCCATAACTCCACCTTCTACCACCCCCATGCCCCAATTCATTTCTTTCCCACATACAAAATATATTAACCCCACCCCAACATCCACAAAATATGAGCCCATCCCAGCATCCATTGTAAATCCAGAATCTCGTCTTCTGATTCATCTAAATCAGGCACGAGAGAAGTTCTGGCTGTGGTCCGTCCTGGGGTGAACTTCCTCTCCATTGGTGGACCCATGCAGAAAATACCAATAACCTGTTTCCAAATCAGTGGTGGGACATGTAAGGAAGATAGTCCTTTTCCAACTGGGAGAAAGGAGAGGGAATGAGGGAGTTGTGGGTATTGAACCCAGCAGGACAAAACACAGTAGCTTTCAAGGCCATGGCTGTTGGCCCAGGGCTATTGGTCACACTTCCCCAGCCCACAGCAAGTACAGTCAGTCAAATTCCTGCTGCATTAAGAACGACCTCTCAGGTTCTGCAACCCTTAGCTGTCACTGCTGCCAGAACAGAGTCGTCCTCAGTCACTGACCACCAACCACCTCCTATCACATCGACAGGAGAACTGTGCCGTTCTTTTGGGACTCCTCAGCCTTGTTGTCAGAACCTGTAGCCACAGCACAGCTAAGCTGCTTGAAACCAGGAAGTTCACTCTCTGAAAATGCAGACATGAGATTGGGCTAGCCCAGGGGTCGGCAAATTTTTGAGACAGAAAAGTCAATCCTGCCCCTCCCAACAATTTAAAATGATTTGGGAGCCATACATAGATTTTTTTAGAAGCAAAATCACCATTAGATGAATACTATCCTTTGAAATGTTTCAAAGTGACTTTAGAGCCACATGTACAAACTGAAGGAGCCCTCAAGTGGGAGATGCAGACTCTTAAAAGCCCAATTTGTAACCATCAAAGTCTGTTCCCTTTGGTATGATAAATAGCTTAAGTTGTTGAGCTGTTCAGTTGTTCATGATCTGGAATGTAAACCCTCACCTAATTAAAGTACCATTCAGAGACCTGCTTTTGTGATAGATTGGAATCCTAATCCCTGTATTTATGGATATAATTCCATTTGGTCATAGGGATTTCTTTGTTATGCTAATAAGCCCATGTAAGTGTAGAGTGGGTCCCAAACCAAATCACTTCTGACTTATAAAAAGAACCGAGTAGACAGAGAGACAGGAGCATACTGGGGAAGTCAGATGTCCTGTGAGCTGCGCTGGAGTCAAGGAAGGAATCAGCCTGGCTGAATTAGACTCTTGGCTTCTGTAAGGACACAATAATAAACTTCTCTTCTTTTAAGCCGTCCACTTACGTTGTTTCTGTTACAACAACAATTGGAAACTAAGGAAGGTTTACATAGAGATGCCTGCAGTATCATCATCCAAGTTTTGTAGAGATTGGGCTGAGAAGGATGAAGGAAAGAGAAGACATCAAGTCTGGGTCAGTGTACAGACACCTGCTCACAGTTCACTTTTTTTTTTAATTGCAGGCCAATGCCCAGAAAGTCCTGCAGAAGCTGAGGGATGTGCAGGAAATATTTGACAAAAGGCAAGTAAGCCTGAAGAAGCTAGCAGCCAAACAGACTCGCCCAGTGCAGCCTGTGGCCCCTCATCCCGAGTCTTCCCCAAAATGGATGTCCCCACCAACAGACCAGCTCTCAGCCTTGGGTAGGTAGTTTGGGGAAGAAACTTGTGTGGCCTTCATGTTTCCTCAGAGGGTTGAGATGATGCGTGTTGAAGATGCATGCTGGTCATGGTTTGGGCAGACATTATTTAAATAAAGGGCAGTGGTAGCATAAGGCACGCATCGAGGCCTCACAGAGTTGCATGAAACTGAGGCCTGAAGTCCAGGCGAAGCTCGTCGTCTCGTGAAGCAATAACCACAGCATAAGGCTGAAAAGGCCCAGAAGATGTTACCAGCGATGGAGGGGTTAACAAGTTGGTGTTTTCACCCCGGTCCCTTGGCATAACATAACATAGTCCACCAAGACGACGTTTTACAGCCTAGTTTGGTGAGCAATAAGTGTGGTCAACTTGGGAGCAGACCTCTTCTTGTCTGGAGGAAAGCATGATAGAGAAAACCATAGATGGATGGAAATAAAGGGGCCAAAGAATAATGGTGCATGAGAGCATTTGTCTCCACCATCATGAGACCAGAGAACCACTGAGACCTGACTACCATTACCAACTGCTCTGAAAGGAGTCACATTAGATAGGAGTCTAAACCAAAGGAGCCTGGTAATGTAGTGGGCTATACACAGAGCTGCTAACCACAAGGCTGGCAGTTCAAACCCACCAGTTGCTCCTCATCTGAATATCTATGAACTTTGCTTAACACAATGTCTTCCAAATTCATCCATGTCATGTGGTGTTTGACAGTTTTTACCCTTGTTTTTAAGGACAGCTGTCTGCTCCCGTAAGGATTTAAAGTCTCAGCAAGTCAGAGGGATGGTTCTCTCTGTCCTATAGGGCCACTATGAGTTTGGCTTTTCCAATAGAAAAAAGTTCAGGGCCAGGTGGCTTCAACAGGGAAATCTACCAAGCATTCAGAAAAGAGTTGACACCCATTCCACACAGACTGTTCCAGAATACAGACAAGGACAACAAACTCACTTTATGAAACAAGCAGGCATAGTCCTGACACCCAAACCAGGCCAAGATATTACCAGGATAGAAAATTACAAACCAATATCCCCTATGAACCTAGATGCAGAAATTCTCAGCAAAATACTGACTAATAGAGTGCAACAATATAGCAATTATAAAAATAATAACAATAATAATGCATCATGGTCAAGTGGGATTCATACCAGAAATGCAATGATGATTCAACATTAAAAGAGCAATCAATGTAATATATAAATAAAACAAAAGATAAGAACTACACAATCGTATCAATTGATGTAAAAAAGGCATTTGGTAAGATCCAACACCCATTCTTGATAAAAAACAAAACAAAACAAAACCAGTAAAATAGAAATGGAAGGGAAAGGTCTTAACCCAATAAAGTCCATTTATGAAACACCAATGGCCACATCCTGCTCAATGGGAGAAACAAAGCAGTCCCTTAAGAATGGGAGCCGGACAAGGATGCCCTTTGTCCCCTCTCTAGTTCAATATTGTACTAAATGTCTTAGCCAGAGCTATGAAGCAACAACAATCAAAGGCATGCAAATTGACAAAGAAGAAGTAAAATCCTCTGTATTTGTAGATGATATGATTAAATAGAAAACCCCAAAGACGTGACACCCCCCCAAAAAAAATCATTGGAAAAAACTCTAATATTCCGCAACATGCCAGGGTATAAGAGCAACATGCACAAATCAATCGGATTTCTGTATATTAATGAAGAGAGCTCTGTAAAAGAAATCCTCTACTGACCTTTGA